ACTGCTACCAGACTGCTACCCATTGAGCTGGGCTGACACCTGCCCCAGTGTTGCCTATATAAGGGGCCCAGTGAGATTAGCACAGGGGATGTAAGGTGAGGAAAGGGAAAAAGGAGATAAAACATTACTCCCCCAAAAGTTTTAAAAACATTGCCAGTGTGCAACAAAACAATGCATTGAAGAGCTGAAACCTGTGGTGAAAAATTAGACAAGAAACATACCGAAATCCAAGGATGTACACTCCGTCTTACTGAGCCAGTCGGGAACCTTGGCGTCTTGTTTGACCCTCAACTATCCTGTCTACCCCACATCCGTGCCATGACCTGCTCTGCCTTCCCCCACCTTCGCAACATCGCCCGGCTCCCCCACTGCCTCACACTGCAGGCTGCCAAAACGCTCATACACCCATTCATAAAATCATAGAATTATACAGAACAGAAGGAGGCCAGTCGGCCCATGGTGTCTGTGCCAGCTCTTTGAAAAGAGCTATCCAAATCAATCCCACTCCTCTACTCTATCCCCATAGCCCTGCAAACTTGTCCTACACAAATAATTTACCTACTTCTCTCTTAAAAGTTGTTATCGAATCGGCTTCCACCACCCTTTCAGGCAATGCATTCCAGATCCAAACAACTCACTCCTCCCCTCCCCTCTGTTTCTTTTAACAACTATTTTAAATCGATATCCTCGAGTTACTGACCCACCCGCCAGTGTAAATAGTTTCTCCTTGTTCACCCTATCGAATCTCCTCAGAATTTTGAAAATTTCTATTAAGTCTCCTCTTAATCTTCTCTGCTCCAAGGAGAATAATCCTAGCGTCTCTAGCCTCTCCCCATAACTGAAGTCCCTCATTCCTGGTACCATCCTGGTAAATCTCCTGTGCACCCTCTCCAATGCCTTGACATCCTTCCTAAAGTCTGATGCCCAGAACTGAACACAGTACTCCAGCTGAGACCTAACCAGTGTTTTATAAAGGTTCATCATAACTTCCTGACTATTGTATTCTATACCCCTATTTATAAAGCCTAATATTCCGTATATTCTTTTTAAACAGCTTCATCTACTTATCCTGCTACCTTCAAAGATTTACTTATATGAACCCCCAAGTCTCTCTGTTCCTTCACCCCCTTTATGATTGTAGCTTATATTGCCTCTCCTCATTCTGCCTCCCAAAATGCAACACTTGACATTTCTCCACATTAAAACGTCATCTGCCACATGTCTGCCCATTTTACCAGTGTGTCTATGTCCTCTTGCAGTCTGCAACTATCCTCCTCACTGTTTACTACTTTTCCTAGCTTAGTATCATCTCCAAACATGGAAATTGTACTTGCTATACCCAGGTCCAGGACGTTTATATATATATTTTTCTCTCCTTTTTTTGGTACTTGTCATACAGGGCCAGGGACTCAGTGAATATGGTATTTGTACCTGTACCTGTTAGCAACCAATAAAAACATTAGACACACATTATTTTACTTTTAACCTATCCCCTTATTCCTCTGGCTGCTTCCCTTCTTTCGAGCACCTCATCCTCTACCATCCCTCCTCTCTCTCCTTCAAAATTCTCCTTGTGTACCCCCCCAAACCTCCTGGCTACTTCCTCATGGACATGTCTTGTTTCCTCTCATCCCTGTCCCTCTGCACTGAACGCCTGCTCATCATGGGCGACTTCAACCTTCATCTCAACTACTCCTGTCCCATGGCCACCCCCTCGACCTTGTTATCACCCACAGCTTAGATATCTCCAGTCTGTCCAACACAGACAAGGCCAACTCTGACCATTTCCTCGTCTCCCTCTCCTCTCGCATCCCTCTTCCCTCCATCAGAGCATTCATAAAATGCAGGCTTGACTATGAAAACTCCCTGCTTGCCGGCATCCCCAACTCTCTCTTCATACGTTGCAGATCATCCAGAACTCTGCAGCTCGTATCCTCTCCTGCACCAGGCTCCGTGACCCTATGTCCAGCGCCTTGAGACATCCTCCCAACATGAAAGGCGCTATACAAATGTAATTTTGTTGTTGTTGAAACAATGTTGTGTTATTGTTTCAAGAAAATACAATGGAATACCATACAGAATATATACTACAATGTCTAATTACGTTGGTTGCTTATTGCCCTTAGAATTGTTCTTTATTCAAAATAGAAAATCCAATAAAGAACCACTTAAAATGATCCAGGTTACACGATGGATGTCTACCTTGTAACTAAGTGCTAAAGCGAATGTAAAGTGTGTGGTAGGTGTGAATAAATGATAGTTGATGAAAACTCGCTGCTGCTATTTGTTACATTCAGTGATGAGGAATCTCAGTCTGGGTGAGACAGACAGTTGCAGATATTACAGATTATATAATGCAGGGCTTTTGAAACAGAATATTAAAAATCCACACCAAATATGAATATTATTAGCCTCTCTCTTCTCAGAACTAAAGTTGGACCTGGACCACCGCAAAATAAGTTCATTTATTTGTAGGACTCTGGTTTGAACCAATTCAATTTAGGCGCACTCTATATTTCAGAAATTAAATTTGATTTTAATCTCTTTTCTTTGCACAAAACTAAACATGAGTAATACCAGTGAGTGAGATGTTGGCACCTCCTCCACCCTACAATACAAATGATAGAAAAAATAAATCAGAAATGTGTGCTGCATAGACAAAGACCCAGTCGACATAATCTTGCACTTCTCTGTCTCAAATGAAAAATAAAGCATTCAGCATCTACCTTTAGGGGTCAAACAAAAGAGCCTCTTGGGTCATAATGATCCAAAGAAGTAAAGCTCTCATTATCAAATAACATTTTAATGATAGGTTTAAGTGGATTTTTTTTAACCTGGATTTGTGGAGAGAGGATTTGATCATTAGGCCATTGAACTATTTCAGACACTTTAAAGAAGCTCGAAACAGAAAGTTGAAGGAGATATTTAGTTATAGAATCACCTAGATGTGGTATAATTTATGTGGAGAGACTGCTCCTGTGAGTCCTGTCTGCAATTGACAGCAAATACCAAATTGTAAATGGAAGCAAAGGGCAACATTTTAGACCTGGGATGCGTCAGATTTTTGTGGAAGATAAATTAATGTACATCAGCCCACTGTAAGCCAATATTCAAGAGTTGAACATTTGTCATAGTAGAATCAGATTCACCAGAACTGGAGAAAGTCATGCCCCATTTTGAATGCTGTTAAATGGAGTACGTACATACTTTCATCTGACCTAAAGCTGTTAAATATTTTCAACCCCAGTGGATGATCATAACTTATGGCCTGGGCCAACAGAGAAGTGTGGATATTTTTGAGAAAAATTGCGGAGCACTTTGTGAATCTTGCAGGAAATTGCGGAGGCCTTTGCTAAATTTTACAGGGGGATTGTGGGAGAATTGCAGGATTGATTGGTGCTGTTGAGGTACATTTTACTGCTACTTTTTTCACTTTATTGATAAAAACTAAACATGAAAAAATAAAGGTCTTAACAGGGTAGATAGCGTGAGACTGTTTCCCCTGGTTGGAGAATCTAAAACTAGGGGTCATAGTCTCAGGATTAAAGGTCAGCCCTTTAGAACTGGGTTGAGAAAACGTTTCTTCACTCAGATAGTAGTGAAATTATGGAATTCTCTGTCCCAGAAGACTGTGGACACTCAGTCATTGAATATATTCAAGACTGAGATCAATAGATTTTTAAAAACGAAAGGGATTAAGGGATATGGGGGTAGGGCAGGTAATTGGAATTAGGTTAGAAGATCGGCCATGAGCTTATTAAATGGCGGGGCAGGCTCGAGGGGCCGAATGGCCTACTCCTGCTCCAATTTCTTATGTTCTGTAACAAAAACTGGGTGGCCATTTTTTTTTGGGGTGGGGGGGCACCAGTGAGGCTACAGGAGCTCACCACCTCCTACCTCTCAGGGTCAGCACCGCACACAGACACACACACATACACACGTCACACACACACACACACACACACACAGAGACACACACACTCACACAGACACACACACACAGACACAGAGACACACACACACAGACACTCACTCACAGACTCAGACAATCACAACAGTGAGGCCTCCGAGTGAAGCTCATTTGTCGCTTGCGCCACACTGCGCATGTGCATCCAGAGCCACTCCGCCCGCAGTGACATCAGACAAACAGCACGAGTGGCCCGTGGGCCAGAAACTACATTTAGTTACCCTTGGCTGCTACAGCTGAAAAGGTGCTGCTGCACTTTTCTATTGGCCCAGGTTATGGCTCTCACTTGCATTGGCACATAAAAAGCCTCTGGTTTGCCAACTTGCCTGCTGTGGAAAAGTAACTGCTCCCAGGACATGATCTGCCTTTGCCTGTGAGAGCACAGTGACATTACTGAGATCAAATGCTTTTATTTGGTTCAATCTGAACTCCTTGCTTGTTTTGCTCAGCAAAAGAATGCGTTACATCGCCTTTCATCTTGTGATAATATTTGGCAGGAGTACTTGCTCTTAAGAAACCAAGGAATCAGAAAAGGGCAATTGGCCCCACCCAGTGTATTCTCTCTACAGAACCAATGATATCACAGACTTCACCCAACCCGTTGTCATCTCCTGGGGAAAAGCACAGCATATGAATGCCTTTCGTGTTTTAAAGATGTCTCAAGGTGCTTAACAGAATTTACTGTAAAGTGCAGGTATTTTGTACTTTACCACATAAGTAGAACAATGATGTAAGAAGCCATTAGAGTTGTATTTCCATGATCAAGTAATGGTAAAGAAGGCCCGGCCAACTATCTGAATATCAGACTAAGTCACCCTTTTTCTGCGTACCCCCACCCCCCCACAGTCATATTCTTTGGCTCCCATCAATGACTTCTCCCCTGTAGCTCTGACCACCTCAACTACCCCCACCTTTATAATATAATAATACTAAACATTGTATTTGATATAGCGCCTTGTCACATCTTCTAGACGTCTCAAAGTTGTGCTTCCTTTCCCACATCCAGTCCCTAACCAGGATCACTTTCCTCTACCTTCGTCACATTGCCCACCTCCAACTGTACCTCATACCCAAGCCAGCCAAAACCATCATCCATGCTTTCGTCACCTCCCACCTGGACTATTCCAATGCTCTTCTTGCCGGTCTACCCAGGTGAACTATCCACAAAATCTAACTAATTCAGAACTCCATGCCCGCATACTCACCCATTATAAACTTTGTAGTCCGATCACACCAGTTCTCACCAGCCTTCTATCGCAGAATGGATCGAGTTCAAGATCTTCAGACTCATGGACAAATCCCTTCACACCTTCCTATCTTTCCAAACTGCTTACCCCCACTCCACCATCTGGCACCTCTGCTCAGCTGGCTCTGGCCTCCTGCTTGTCCATCATCCCCTCTGCTCCACCATCAGCGTTTGTGCTTTCAGCCACTACGCCCTGAAACTTTGGAAGTCTCTCCCTCAGTTCCTCTGCTTTGCCCGCTCCTTCCCTTTTTCAGATCATGCCTGAAGACTTTTCTCTTCGATTATGTTTATGCTCCCCCCACCCCCAACCCCCGACTCAACATCGCGCTCCGTCACTGTTAAGCGCTCTGTTGTGAAAAGCGCTGCCCCATGTGAAAGGCAGTATATAAACACAAGATGTTATTATTACCATTACTTCTTACACACTACTTGGATTTATTTTTCGATCCGAAAAGATATATTTTGAGCTTGCAAAAATGTTAAGTGTTACATTTTTGCAAAGGCACAAATGTTATGTGCTTGAAACAGTGAAACTGCAAACTTATCAAGACGACTGAGTTGATTTTTCGTTTGTTAATGGGATTCTTTAACCAGCTGGATCTGCTCCAGACAAGTATCTTCAGCAAATAGGAATGAATCCTAATGCGCTATGAAAATCAATTAACACCACCTGTAACAATTGTCTGACCTTTAGCAGAAAGCTGTTAAATCCTAAGGTCTACCTCCTGCAATTGCCAGAAACAGCATGATCTGCCTCAGCTTTGATTGCAAAGAATGACTTTGTCGTCTTCCGATATCACAACACAGGAATAGCAGAAGACCATTCATCCATTGAGCCTGTTGTGCTTTATAACACTTATATTTGAAACAGCGCTTTTCACGTCCGAAGGAATTTCAAACTTCTTCACAGGGTTTACTATAGAGTGTAGTTACTGTAAAGTGTTAAGTATCACAAACCTAAGACCCCAAATTCCACTTCATCTTTGCCTGTAAGACCATTTTGCCATAAAATGTAATATTGTACAGAACTGTAGAAAACCAATATCCAAATTAAGACTGAATTTAAGAATTTTCCATAATTCTGCACAATCTTAAATTTTAATGATGAAATGGCCTTGTAGACTAAGACCAGATGGAATTTTGCTTCTCTCACTTTTCACCTGATTGTCACCCACGGGCTAACAGCCTGACTCAGTTGTTATAACCTTCACCCCTGAGTCAGAAGGTTGTGGGTTCAAGCCCCATAATGGGACTTTGAACTCACAGTCTAGGCTGACACTTTAATACGGTGCTGGAGGAGTGTTGTATTGTTGAAGTCATATTTCGGATGAAACATTAAACCAAGGTCCTGACTCAGGTTGAAAATGACCAATTTATTATTGTTTTCAATCTACGACTGATTGTGGGATACTGCTGTGCCCAATTGGCTGCTGCGTTTTGCCCACAAATATACAGTCAATTCACTTTACAGTATATTCTGTGAAGTACTTTGAGACGTCTAGAAGACATGAAAAGCGCTATATCAACTGCAAGGATTATTATTATTATTATTATTATTATAGTCCAGGTATTGATCTTCCTTCCCCAGTGGTGGGTTTGAAAGGATGAAGGATGACAGCTCTCAGAACATATCTGACCAAACATTAATTTAAAAGTTTTGGAAAGATAGCAGGATCTTTGACTTTCATTTGCTTTCACATATATTACGGAGAGCCAGAGACCTCTGAGAGATTGGCTGCACAAAGCTGCTCTGCACTTCAGTAGATTAACTGTTGAAACAAATGCAAAAGACATTTTAACACATAGGTACAATTCACATGGAAATATGTAGCAGTGATTTACAAAGCAATTTCACGAAGTGTTCCTTACATTTATGTTAATATTCTAGGTCATTGAAAGCTTTAGAATTTGACTGCCATGTTCACCTTTCCAAAGGTGTTCCTTGTTAAGCAACAAAGGTGTGTTTTCATTTATTCTTCCCTTCTTCTTTTGAAAGCACTGATTCATGTTGGTTTATAATTCCACAGGCAATAGGCAATCACTCCCCATCCAACTGGCCATTTTTATTGACTGACCATAAATAACCCTGGATTTGTTGATAGCATTCTTACCTCTGAGTCAGAAGGTGATGTGTTCAAGTCCCAAATCGGGATTTTGAATTTACGTAATCTAGTCTCCAACACAGTGCTGGGGGATGAGCTGAAAATTCAAGGTCCCATTCTTTGGATGAAATATTAAACTGGGATTTTGTCTGCTGTTCAGGCGGATGTCAAAGATCCCATTGCACAATTCAAAAAGAGAAGGGAATTCCTCCCAAGGTCCTAGCCAGCAATCTCCCAGATAAAAATTGATTGGTCACTTCATGGTTGTGTATGGGATAAATACAAAATTACTATACTTTGCAGTAAATCACGCAAAGCTTTGAGATGGTCTCCCTACCTGAAAGGTGCTATCTCTAATACAAGGATTATGATTAGTATACATACTGAATGTTGATAGATTATACGGTCATCAAAGCATCATAGCTGAGATGGCTCCTGTCCTTTATCTGGACATCTCCACATGTGCTCTTACCAGCAGAGAAAATGTATAGCAATCAAGAATGAGCATCTTGGACAATCCTTCCCCTCCCTACCCTTAGCACCATGGAGGGTTATATTCCCGATTTCCATTCCAGCTGAGATGAGCTAATTCAGCAAAAAACAGGAACTGATATTTTCAACATTTATCAGGATCAATACAGCACTACAGAATATATTCACTTACTGAGGAGGCTCTGTGTTATTACAATAGCTTAAATAATAGCTAGTGTAGTGGAGGTTAAAGGTACTTTTTTATATATCAAATGAGAACAGGTGTAATTTTCAGAAACAATTTGTTGATGTCACCAGAACTAGTCTATCATACATGCCTGAAATATTTTAGATTTAAAGTGCATATGTGCAACCAACTTTTATTTTACGTTCATCTACTTACACATGCTATACAAGCAGAATGCAAAATGAGCAGCCGTGGGGTATGATATACGTCTTACTCTTTCATTGATCATAACCCAGTGGCAGTTTTGCTATTTAAGTGAGTTACTAAGTAAATTGACTTAAGGGATAAAAAAGTACATCTGTACTTCTCATTATTATTCTCAAATCTCGGGGCAAAACAAAATCTCTCCATCTCTCATCCATTCTTCACCCGTTCATATTTACAGTTCATTCTGTCCTTTTGAATGTATCTAGAGATGCAACTCATGTTTAATTTGAGAGACTGGCTGCAAGGCACGTCAGTCAGTGAAAGGGACATAAAAACAACAACAATAACAACAAAATTACATTTGTGTAGCGCCTTTCACATCGTGAGGACGCCCCAACAGAGACTGAAAGAGCCTCTAATCTAATTTGAAAATTCTTAGAGCCTTGCTGATGGGCAGTGGGTTCTGTCATCAATTTAGGATCTTAAAATCAATTTTGGCTTGGCCCATAATCACAAGAAACAGGAAAACTAACAGTTCTAAGAGATAAAATATCCAGGACAACAAATTATGCGGTTCTAAACCTGGCAGTACCTGTTGAAGCAGGATTATTAGATTTAAGCAAAAAGGGTAGGAATTCTGGGGCGTGTAGCATTGGACAATCTTTTCACCTCTCGACGTTCGTATGAATCCAACTCAGACTGCTGGATTACATTTGTCCACAAAATACACAGTCACTACCCTTTACATGGAATCCTGTAAAGCGCTTTGATAGTCCTCCTGACATAAAAGGTTCTGTATCAAATACAATAATAATAATAATACAAGGATTATTATGGAGAACAACAACAACTTGGATTTATATAGCGTCCTCCACGCCGGACGGCATCTCAGAGTGCTTCACAGTAACAGATCCCGGGGCCGAGCCAGGGGGAGGGGGAGGAAGGTAACCAAAGGCGCGGTCGAAAAGAAAGGTCTTCAGCCGAGACCTGAAAATAGGAAGAAAGAGGGCGAAGCGAAGGGAGTGAGGAAGTGAACTCTAGAGCTTCGGGGTGTAATGGCTGAAGGCATGGCTGCCGAGGGTGGAGCGGAGGATTCGGGGGACAAGGAGGAGGCCAGAACAGTGGAGCGAAGGCAACGGGCACTGTTGTGAGGAGAGAGCAGGTCAGAGAGGTGGAAGGGTGCAGAGCAGTGGAGAGATTTGAAGACAAGAGTGAGGATCTTGAAGTCAAAATCTAGTCAGAACTGATGAAGCACCTCGTTGAGTTCTTACGAAGGGTCGTGGACTCAAAACGTTGACTCACTTTCCTTTCTCCATGGATGCTGCCTGACCTGCTGAGTGTTCCCAGCGACTTCTGTTTTTCTGACAAGGATTATTATTATTGCTGTCAGTTAATAGGTGTCCTGAATTCAATCCCAGTACATGTTTAGTTTGGGGGCGAAAATATAATGTATAATAATGTGGCATTGTTATTGGTCTGGCTGACCCATCACTGAGAATCATTTAGAAACTACCTCTATGGAGTGATCTAAACTGCAATAATAATATTTGCATTTGATATAGTGTCTCAAAGGATTCACTGTAAAGTGTCATGACTATATTTGGTAGACAAGTGTAGCAGACAATTTGGGCACAGCACAATGTCCCACAAACAACCAAGAAACAAATTGACCGATTTTCTTGGGAATTTGTTGGCCAGGAAACTGGGAGAAACTCCCTTTAGCTGACCCACATGACCATGCAACTCACATGATCAAGAAACACCCGCTAACACAATCAGCCTGCCCTTGGAGCTATTCATTACACCGACCATTACAGTGCACATGAGCTGCTTATTAAGATAATTATTTACCTTACAAAACAACAATAATCAGTTACCAAATC